TCTTTATCTCTCTTCTCTTTTTATACTCTAGCAAAAATTAGGAATTTGAAGTATAGAAGAAGACAACAATTTAAGAAAGAAAGACACAATGAAGATGGGGTGAATCCAAAAGGCTTTCTTTTTTACTTTGCAGTTTAGTCTGGATCACCATCCAATTTCATTATAAAGGTAATAATCATCATTATAAATGTATATTTGCCTATTAAATCAGCATTAATATTCCCAACTAGGCAATTACAACAGCTCCCGTTGAGAGATCATTTTCTGCAATGACAACTGTGAAGAATCTTTTGCGAAATCGATTGGGAGATCAATCGTTGAATGACAACTTAGTAACTTACATCGAAAATGATGTATTTAGTGGTATTTTCAATGAGCCTATAATGCAACGTTTTCAAAACAGAATACACTTAGGAGTCATTGTGATTTTACTGAGTTAAATATATCTTTTGTCTCTTATCAAAGTTCATGATATATTAGAAACAACACTATCGAAGATTTCTGTCTCTGCCGCTGATTATATGTACATGGTTTCCAGTGCAGCTTGTACTTCCGGATGTTGCCATGATTTCAATCTCTAGATCAGTCTAACTTCCTATTTATTGGCAAAACCTTTTTTTTTTACTTAATACAGAAGTTAACTTTTCCCCGACGAATATTTCAAAAGTAAATCAAGGAACAGCGAACAGAAATTACCCATAAAAAGGAAAAAAGAACTCAAAGCTTAGCAAGCATGTCAACTTCACATTTCTAGTTTGTAAGCAATAATAAAATAAAAATTACCAAAAAAAAAGGCAAACTAGGATAAAATACAGAAAATGGGAAGAGTAAGGAGGAGCAGCGGAAGGTAGAAGAATAATAGCAATTGATTGAAATTTTGATTTGAGAGGCTCTCAACTTAAGACAGAAAGATTAGGGCATTAATTAGGGCGAAAACGAACACAAAAACGGGGGAAAAAATTACCTCTCGTCGACGCAGAAGAAGATAGAGACCTAGGAATCGCCGAATTCTGCCGTCGATAACGCGATGCGGAGAGGCTAGGGTTTTATAGAGAGAGACCTCCGATCGACGGAGGAAAAGGAGAGATTTTGTTTTTTTTTAGGGTTACAGTAGGGAGAATAGTGGAAGATAATGGAAATGGTAAACGGGTCGGATCCCAACTGACGAATGTCCAGCCCGTTGACAAACCCAAACCAAAGAGGCCCAATTGAGTGGGCCCAGGCCGTTTGGCTAATGCTCGAGGATGGCAGACTTCGAAGCAATCAGATCCCGCGAGCGAAAATGAAAACGATCATTTTTTTTTACTACTTATTTATTTATTTATTTTAATTCTTTATTATTTATTGTTTTTTTGACGAGGGAACCGTGTTATGGGGAGCTACAACAAAAGTGGCATGCAGAGCTCAAAGCTCCTCGCTTCTCTTTGAAAATGTGTAAAAGGCTTCTCAGTATTTTCGAAACTATTTAAATGCAGGTAGATCATTCAGTTCCCAAATTTACACGCGAGGCGCATGAGTACTATGCTGCTGCATTGTGTGTCATCGCTACCAATAATAAAACGAGCAACGCATTTTTCGGCGCATCACATACATCCACTCTCAAACTAGCTTTCGGATCGTTTCGAGCGGTCGTAAAGTTGATCAGATTGAATCAATAAAAAAGAAGTGCAGAGAGGAATAAAGAACATCTCCAACAGCTTCCCCATTTTATTGATATTCTCACTTTTAGAGAATTTTCCCATTTCCCAAAATAGAGATGGATGAGAAAAAAAAGAGTCTTCCTCAAATTTGCAGCATTCTGTAAATTTTTGCAGAGAGCTTTGTTATAAATACAGCACATTCTTCAAAACGGGATGGAGGAGAAAATAAATACAAAACAAAATTCGTAATTACAAAAAAAGCCATGGGGACAGTTCCAATGCATAAGAGCATCCCAAAATAGGGATGTAGATTATTTTTATTATTGTAATAGATACAGGATTCTTCAAAATAGGGAAGCTGTTGGAGTTGGAGCAAAAATAATTTGGAGAATATGACTTTTGCTTCTCCATTTTGAAGAAATTTTTAGGGAAGCTGTTGGAGATGCTCTAAAGAAACTAAAACAGAAGGGCTTCTGTAGACAATTTCACTACTCGAGCTTCTTTCATCATGAAGCGCGTGGTGATCGACAAATATCAAATTGCTACGCCTGTGGATTAGACAAGAACTTGGAAAGGAACAAAAAACGTCTACAACTTTAAATAAGAGACTTTAGACTGAACCGGACTTCAAACCTGCAATGCCTAAGACTAAGAGACTTTCGACAAATATCGCTTTATTTTGGTTTCCAGTATATCCTGTCTTTGATCAAGAAACACGATACATTTGTAGTCGGTGAAAATGTGGAATACAATTTACTGGAGCCATGCGAAGAAGGATTAGCAAGATAGATGGCACAAAACAGTGAAGACCAAAGAGCAAATTGCTCCTAAATGAAGGTTGGACAAAACAAGAAACAAAACTCAGCATACAACCTCTGATAAAATCACCGGCACTACAATGTCTTTCGCCTGCTAACCATATCTTTCAATTCTCCTTCGAAGTCTCATCAAGCATCGTACATACTACTAATTTCAGCAGGGAAACAGACGTAAAACCGCAGAATCACAAGGACGAACTGAGAGGCAAAGGAGAACCATTGAACTGGGATTAGAAACACCATATAGATATCAAAAGCACGTAGTGCTCATACACCACTACATACTTAACGGCAGATGAGCAGAAGAAATGAAGAAACAAGGTGGCTTTTGGAATCAAATGCATAAGCAGAATACAATAACATGATAACCTCCTTAAAGCGAAGATTAACCTCCAACCTTGCGAAGATTAGCTGCGAGTACAGTTTGTGTATCACAATACACATGGTCAAGTACTTAAATTCAGATAAAATGAAATTGTGAGCAATACGGAGAACTTATGCATGTTAGAGAAGCAGAAAATTATTAAAGCTTATTAATAAAAGGCTACCTTAATATGCTAGCAAAAATACCAACCTACTGTCTTGACAGAATAAAAAGAGGTAACAAATGCTAGTAAATAACAACAACAAAATAAATGAGATCCCCAAGTTTTAAAGTATTTCAAGAATATTCATAAGGAATTTTCGAACATTACTAATCTTTTGAGCATGCCCACTCACAGATACAATTTGGAGATTCCACAGCAAGCTGGAGGGTGGACAATTTCCCTTGTAGACTTTACCTGCATTTTAAGTCTGGTTTTTAAGTTAACAAGGCGGATGAGTCATTTTCTGACATCCTTAAGCCAGCAGAATCATGCCTCAAGAACTGTTCCCCTAATTCTTTAAAGAAGAAGAAGAAGAAGAGTGCTCCCCCAAAATGAGGTGAGAGCTTCACATATTAAAGCACAAAAATTGAATGCCCACTTTTTTTTCTCTCTTCTTTTTCCCCCTCTTGGTGTCCCCCTATTGGTGCTCATGTAAGTGTGTTGTATGTGTGCGCACACATGTATGCATGAATGTGTCTCTGTATGCATGCAGCGATCGGTCTGCGGCCGTTGGTGCCGGGCGACGGTGTGTTTAGGGGAAGGGGGTGGGTGGTTCCCCCAACACGGTGGGGGGGATGGAGGTGTGGCGGGAATGGAACTCTATATATTCTAACGCTAAGACCGGCATCTTGATTCAATTTAATCAGTAGAGCTTGCTTTAAGCAGGTTGCTGTCAAAGAATCGATTGTTTGGTATAAATTGTTGTCACCAAGAGGAGGGACCCACTCCCTGCTGCAAAACGCTCTCCTCTGAAAGCAAAATCACGAGGACATTGATAATATTCATCCAGTCAAGTAGATAACACCACCTCGAACAGCCCTCTCTCTTTCTCAGGTTAGGCTACTATCCTGAGTCAGCATCTGTCAGCGTTTTAACATATAGATGATGGATAGCTATGTACACTGAAGCGGCGGCACCAGCGCTCAAGATGCTCCTGTCAGCTGCACTAAATACCGAGACACCTCCCTCGCTAGCGTGACTCCACTCTTGGATTCTTCAATTTAGCCAGGGACTCGTCACCGTTCATGCCTCAGCAAAATACTCACAACTTTGTGATTTATAATTAGTTAAGAAGGTCCAACACCAGCCATGTCCTTTCTTTTCTTCCCTACCATCTTGTTTGACGACGACAAACTCTCTGCTGAAGGGTCTAAAGGACATGGCTGAGGGTCCTTTTCCCTTGTGTAAATGATTGAATCATCCAAAGAGTATATTCTAAGAGCCAGAGACGAAATAGTGCTAGTCTTTGCTGCAGCTGTAAGGGATGACCAGTACCACCATCTATTTTTCAAGTATTCCGCCTTGATCATACCCTCCAACAAGATCGTTGCTTGAATCATCTATGCAGAAAAAAGGGGGAAATATCAGGTACACTATGATCACATAGAATATAACAAGTCATGGCTATCAAAAGTTTAAAGAAAACATAAAGCTGTACTAACAGGCACATGTTCGACGAAGGAAATTAAATTTTTAATAATAATGAAGTAATAATGGATGGTTGGATACGCAAGTATAAATTTAGTAGGTATTTTGTGAATTTTATATGCTTAGATTAGGTAGAAAAGTTGACACTAAAATAGATTTGCAACATTGCGGTGACAATTTAGGCATCAGTTTGCATCGAGATATGAATTTCAAACTTCGAAAGAAAAATCGAGAGTACTGAACATGATACTGGCAACCAGGAGATCAACTTACGCCTAAGCCTTTCAGCTGAAGAAATCAGAAACAGATCGTGTAAAATAATAACTGTATACAGACTTGGTAGGTTCCTTCCAGTCCATTATTGTCAATACAGGGTCTTTAATTTAAAGACTCGAAAAGCTCAATGACAGACCAGAACTTAATCTCCTCAGCCACCTAGGTCAAAGCTTCAGAGTGAGAGTCGCTCTGGTGTAAACTTCATTGAACATCAAAAGCATTGGGGAAAAGTATTAATTTTATCCACCAAGTTTATATGTAATTTTATAGATAGCCTGAATTTAAATCTGAATTTGAATTAAGATTTAGATCTGAAAACTTGGTTTCATTTAAATTCCAGGTGTATATCCCTTACAAGAACAACTTTTTTTTCTTTGGTGTCCTGATATTCGTAGAGATATCATCGGCAACTAATTCAAAGAACAAGCTAATCATTGTTTGAGATGATTGACAATGTTATATTTATTTAGTCAAATACATTACCATAAGTTAAAAAGATACCTTCATTGAGTCATTTCACATTTGATAGAAATTGTACTGCCAAGTAAATCATTCCTCACTTGTAGCTTATCTTATGACGTAAACGTGAAGTATTGATTATCAAAAATTAGGAAGAAAAATTCGGTTGTTCTAAATAGGAAAAAGAAGAAGAAACAAGTAGTGCGCCATAATTGAATCAAACAAGACAAGAATCCTACTCACCTCGAATATTGACTCTGCAGACTTCACAAATGCACGCCATGCACATCTTCTCCGAATGTCAGACCTTGACAATCTCAATGCTTCCTCTGGTAAGGCTGCCTCCATCTCAAGTAAGTTGATCTTGAGCCGCTTTAAAATATGAGAAACTTTTCCAAGCAGAGGTCTGAGTGAAGGCTCAGGAACTGCACAGCTCTGGATAACCTTTGGCCCCTGTGCCTTGCAAGATGCACGCTTCCCAGTTGTGGTATATGATGAAGATGTTTTAGCTAAACGATCACGCTTACTATCAACAGGACAGTTTTGAGTTAATGTGGCATCATGTCTAGGCTTATTCCCTAGGACACCATGAGATACATTTGTTCCTTCATTATGTAAGATAATCGGTAGCCGGTTGTCTGAAGAGTGCGAAGCTTTATTCAGATGGTCGATTTTTTCACTTTGTCTTAGAAGTAATGGAGGATCAAGAAACATGTGAGGAGATGATATTAAAAATGGGATACCATTGGAACCAATAAGTCCGATCTCCTTAATCAACTCCTTGTTCGAATCATTAGTGATGAATTTTTTACTGATCTCAACTAGGTCATAAGGGCATGCTTTATTTGGGAATTTGACTAGATTTGAGCTTATATCAAATTTCCCTTTTTTCAATGTCTCCACAGTATCTACATCATCAGTGTGCTCCTTCCCTTTCTTATTATCATGCTTTATTACCTTCCCTTTCATAGAATCGTCGTTTTCTTTGTTTTCATCAGTAACAGGAATATTTGGAGCACACTTTCCATCATTATGACCTTCAAAATCTTGGATAGAGGAAAAGGTTTGGTGACAAGTGACACAATGGGGTCGAGAAGGCCATACAGGCTCTAAACACTCACATCTGTACATCTTTTCATCGCTGTTCACTTTTCCCTTCCTCCTGCGTTTTTTTGGATTTTCAGTGACTTCTGGCTCCAAGCATGGCCCATAACTTTTTTCAAGTATGCTTGCAGCTTTCGTAGTTAAATGGCAAGGAGGTGCAACCTTTTCAACAATGGAAGATTTTGGTTTAGGATCAATTCTAGCATAAATATTCTCATGATAAAATGCAAGACTTTGCCACTGCAAGATGCACTCCTTCAGTTCCCTTTCTCCAGGATCAGCATCTCCCAACCAGCTGACGAGTTGCTGAATTTCAGTGTCAGTTTCATATACAACCAAAGGTGATGAATTCGACATACTATCAGATTGGCTCAAGAAGTTGGAGGTGTTTTCTCCAAGCACAGAACCAGGCGAAGCAAAACCGCTAGTGCTGCTAGAACCAGTGGCCTCAATTTCACTTCTGATTCTCTTCTCCAAAGGCACCGCCCTACCTCCACCTACTACTAATGAAGGACGTTTACCGGGCTTGCCAATAACCCAATACAACCGCCCAATGGAATCTCTTCCCAAGAAGTCCCTCCTCAATGACGTGAACATAATCTGAGACTCTAAACTGGCTATTGAGTCCTGCAAATGTGAAATCTCATTTCTCAGAGAGTTCAGCTCAAGACTGCTGCTGTCAGAATCAGTCAGATTTGCAGGAATATCAAGGTGGCTTCCTTGCACAACTGTATTTGAATGGGAAGGAATCAATTCTCCCACTGACATGCCAGTTCCAGAGTTTTCTTCCATGCTTAGAGTGTCTTTTGCATCCGAACTGTATGGTGCTTTCTTTGCAACACCAATCAGCGTCCTTTGTACATTTTCAGGATCAACTCCATGGACCACTTCCTTCACTGCTGCATTCCTTTGCGGTAAAGCAACTGAAGGAACTGTTGAATGTTCTCGCTCACTTGGTTCATTACCATTGCTAACATTTATAGTGGGAAAGGAATTTTCATTTATTGTGGCCTTATTCAGAACATGACCATCAGCGATGGAATCAGAGTCGTTCTGATGTCTTTTACCATTAACATGTTTATCAATCATGCTCTTTAGCAATTGCCCAAAGTTCTGTTTGACATCAGTTTGTCCATTCTCCTCATGGTACTCCTCTAACGGGGCAGATGCCCTCTTAAGTGGACTACCAGAAAAATTTGTAGTATAGATTACTCTGTTGTTTCTGAAATGTTGCTGCTGCTCTGTCAGCCCACCTTCGTTAGCAAGCGTAGTAGCTATCCCTTCTTCTCCTACAAAGTCTTCGCATCCACTGTATTTACCAGTATGTTCTGGCACGGTTCTTGCTAACAGTTCTTCCTTAAATTTCAAGTTTCTCCAGTCAATAGAAAGAGCATATAACTTTTGTTGTGTGGTATTTGACTTGTCAACGCACTGTTCAAGGTGTTCACGAATAAGTGCAGAATTCAGCACTTCATCACACAAAAATTTCAGCAAAAATATCCTCTGCATTCCAAATAAAACAAAAGCATCAATGATCACAGGAAGATAAAAATATTTAAATCACAGAAGAAACACATGAAATATTAGAAGATAATGACAGAAAACATCAGTAACAGTTATAAACCACATAAATATGAAATTCTAGCTTGACCATCAATCTCATAATGAGACCAAAAAGAAGATACCATAATCCTCTTTTAATGCTGAAGCGTGATAATAATAGTCAAGGACACATTGGAAGAATGGCAATCAACTTATTCACACTAGTAATGCTATATCACAACTACAATACAACTTCAAAGCAAATAAACCAAATAAAAATTAAACCAACCAAGTGTATTGCATACACATTTTGAAAGACTTCCATAAGAATTTAAGTAATAAATCACATCATTATAGTTTTGAAAGATTAAACAGTAATGTTGATGAGACAAGAAAAGGGATAATTTCTGAAGTATAAAGATGGAGAAAACCACTCAAACCTAAAGGAGTGAGAATTAGTAGAGTAAATTATAATGCATGGAAACTAATTTTGGTAAAATTGTTAAACAAAATGAGGTATAGTACATAATAATGGTAAAGAAGTACCTAGGAGTAATCAATTTGCTATTTAAGATCAGTCATTCTCCAAGACAATGAGGTTGAAGATGATGAGATTCATCGAACCAAATCAGAATGGTTAAAGTGGGAAGTCACTTCTGAAGTCCTATATGGTCATAAACTACCTATGAAACTAAGGAAATATTCTATTAGGAAAGCTACAAGACAAAACAATGGTTTAGGGATCAGAATGTTGGACAATTAAGAAACATGCACAAAAGACTAGTGTAGAAAAGATGAGATTTTTATGATGACATGTGGATACACACTGAGAGATAGGATAAGAAATGACTACATTGGGAGTTAGATAAGAAATGACTACATTGGGAGTTAGATAAGACAAGACTACATTGGGAGTTAGATGGTTCTTCTACTGAGGACAAAGTAAGGATCAATTAGATGGTTCAGCCATGTGCATCAGAGAAAGCCATATGCACCAAATAGGATAAGTGATAAGATTATAATTAATAGAATAAAGAAGAACTAAGCGTAGGCCTAAGAGAACTTTGTTGGAAACAATTAAGAGGGATATGACACTGATTAACTTAATGGAGGAGATAGCCTAAGGTTGCGTTAGGATTCGAGGATTTGATTTCAAATTCCAGAATTGAATTTTAAAATTTGAATTCTAGAATTTCAAATTCGATTCCTTCGTTTGGGAAACATCCAAATTTGAATTCTAGAATTCAATTTGAAATTCATGTTTGTCAAACTTTAGAATTTCAACTTTAAAATTTTCAATTCAAAAGGGAAAATATTAATGGATAGCACATTTGAGATAAATCAGCATAAACAACTGATGAATAAGCATAATAATAAAAAATTGTTATTTTGCAAGAACAATGACAGCTCACTACGCACAATCCAGATCTCCGCAAGAAAAAAAAAACTTCTCATTCCTCGTTCCCTCTCAACCTTCTTGACTGAAAGATTGATCCAGTCCATACTAATTACTAAATGTCAAAAATATAATTATAAAGAGGTCAGGTTGAAACCCTAGGTTCAGAAATTATAACCAATCAGAGAAATTCATGTCGAAATTCATGTCTGCCCTAGATTCCTGCTCGCCGAGGTCCGATCGCAATCTGCCCTAGGTTCACAGAGACCGCCG